CCCACTGAAGCCAGAAAGGAAAGTTATAAAATTACAGCCTTGTTGTTTTTGTTGGGTGATAAAATCAAATACTGTTTTATATAAACACTTCATAGTTTAATTTTGGACCATAACATATTTCACTGGTAAAATTTAAAAACAGGAGTTCTCTACTGGGATGTTAATGTGAGGCAAAACAAAAATGTTATTTGTCACAAGTCATTTCATCTCATATTGTGGGCTACCGCTCTAAATCCTGTGATTATTGGCCTTCCTAATGCACCAAATTGCAACGTATTTTCTGCTAACTGATAAAAATGTGTATTTTCCAGACATCTGTGTAAACTTAATAGACCACGTTACTTCAAGATGAAACCACGTGAAGCTAAGGCACTAAGTATAGTGTTAGCGGCTTGATTGAAAATAATCATATTCCTTTGATATCCAGTATTCAACAGATGTGAAATTTTATATATAACATAAGTGAAAAAAAGCACTGGATACAAAAAAGTGTTTTATTGCAGAATGGCAGGAATAATAATAAAAAGAGAGATACTTTTTTTTAATCCCAAAAGTTGAGGTTAGCAGCAGCCAAAACCTAACAAAAACAAACCAAATAAAACCCAGAGCTGTAAAAAACATCGCAAATATTGTGTCAACATAGAACTGTTCTGAAAAGTAAAAAAAACAAAAAAACAAAACATTAAAGAGAGGCCTCAATAAATCACTATACATTGAGGAGCTTAAATCTAAAATGAATACTACCTGGGAAGGGTTATACCAGACAAACAAGCCAACTCATTATAATTAAATGAACCACAGCTAACCAGTTTTCTACCTCTGGCTTTGCTCACTTTGCTCTCGCTAGCACATTTGTAAAACTGATGGGTCAGAATGTCTGAATTGCAGGGGCTGCACATTTTATGTCCCATATTTGGGGATGGGGAGGTTTTGTAATAATCTTGGGAATTTCCAACTAGAAGGCTTCCCAGAAGAAGAGAGGTGTTTCATCTTTTGGAAATCCCATGGTAGCTCCATGCTCTCCGTGTCCGTTAAACAAGCTAAAGGGCAGACCGATAAGACAGTTCCTAGTGCACTTTGTGGAAATCGAATTTGTGCGAATACACTTTGCTAATTATTTTTGCGTGTTTTATCACTATAATCTAAAGAGCCGAGAGCCGAGAGAGAACTCCAGATAAAATTAATTTAGGCTGTTTATTTAGTCTTAGACAAAAGGGATTTTTACTAAAACAATTCACAAGACTTCTGCTGTACATCACCCATCTTAGGATCTCTATGTTTTTGCCTCTGTGTCTTGTGTGTGTGTGTTTCAGCTATAATTTACTGCAGCTTTGTTTATGTTATCAAAGCACAATTCAGCACTGAGACCATATTAAATCCTTACAGCGTTCTGGTGTTCAACACACAAAAAAGTACATGGAGGCTCATGCACAGAACAGAAAGTACACATGCACACCCACACATACACACACACAT